TTAATATTATGTATATATTTGGGGTGTGTGTTATTATTTTATTGGTAATTATATTTTAACTCATTAAAATTTTCATACTTTAATATTGAAAAGCATTGAAATGTGTTTCTTCTTCTGTAACTCTTTATTTGATCTTTGGGATAGGTATTTACAAATACGTTATTTTTTATTACGATGTTTATTCAACAGCTCGTTTTATATAACTATTTTCTATGAAACATCATGATATACATTTTATTACATTAACTTTTATGACAATAATAACCACAATTAATATTAATATAAATTAATGTTTGTTACAATGTGATAGTTCACATATATCACATATAAGATAATACCTTTTGATGTATCTAAGAAAATTTATGTATGAATACAATAACAGTTTTTTATTACTTAAGTCTCACAGGTAACATCAAGTTCATTGAAATTGACTCAGTATTACTTAGTCACTAAATAATGATATAAAGTTAAACATTATTTATATAAAACTACTTTGAAAATAATAACATAGAGTTATTTCAATTAGAATATCTTTTTAGTAAAAATAGATAATAATCAAAAAGAAAAGACATCGAATGTGTCTATTGAAAATATTCCATTGAATAACAAAGTCAAGAAAAAACAGTTCAAAAATGTATTTTTCTACAAACATATCAAAATGTTTATTCAAAGAAATAATCAGTAAAACATAGACAATATTATGTACAAGTTTAACATGCTAATTGGAAGAATAAAACAAGAGAATTAAGATTTAAAAAAATAGAACAAGATACAAGAACACATGAATTATACAAGAAAACTCTTAATACAAAATATTGTTTAAGATTTAGATATTAAAGGAATATTAGAAAGAATGAAGACAGAGAAGAAAAATTTAGTAGTTATATTATACTCTTATTAGATTGTTATAAGAAATTAACTCAAAAAATTGTGGACTTCAAAAATATTAGATAAAAACAACACGGATAGCGAAATATGGCTGATAAGAATGGTTGTAATAAATTTGATACTAAATAAAAATAACACTTGAATTTATCACTTATTTAAGGAACGATTAGGTACAGTACAACCAAAGTTATTTTTAATTAAATGAAAAACCGACTAAAATATGTACGTCTCTAGGAATTGAAGAACAAAGAATATTATTCCTAAATATAATCAATTCCACAATTTTAATAATCAACCAACCTAAGAATAGTCAAGAATGTAATGAAGAAAAAGGCAAGAAGTTATCCCTTTTTAAAGTAATCTTCCAAAGTTATCAAATTATCAGATTTGACTAAGCTCAAAGAGATTACAAAATTCACACTATATAATTTTCATTTGAAAGTATTATATTGGTAGAAAATATAAAAGAATGTAGTGTGTTTATATTGTTTGATCATTTTTTTGCACAACTAATTGGTGTGAGTAGGATTGTGTTCCAAACATCTAATTTATTTTTTATGTAGAATTTAAAGACCAGAGTATAACTTTCTATTTCTATGATAATTTATAAAAGAGATATGAAAATATTTTTAATTTAAGTTCCAAAAAAAGAATAGAACCTTTTTATTAAAAATGAATTACCCTTTTTATTCTGACCATTCATCTGATGAATCATCATCTTCTTCATATTCATCATCAGCAATATCTTTTCTTCTATTAGCCATGACACCACATAGCAATGAGGTTAAATCTCCTTTTTGTTGAGCTGTTAATTCTTCTTTTGGTGGTTGAAGGACTCTATCAGTAGATTTCTTAAGAGATGTACCTCCACGGATCTGGTCTAGAAGAGATGGTGCAGAGACTTTAGGTGTAGATATATTAGATGGTGGGTTATTCAAAGATGGAGGAGGTGGTGGTGGTGCACCAGAACTTGTACCACGTGCTGGAGGAGGAGGTGGTGGTGGTGCGTTAAGAGGAGGAGGTGGTGGTGGTGCATTTAGAGGAGGAGGTGCACCAGAACTTGTACCACGTGCTGGAGGAGGTGGTGGTGGAACTCCATAAGATGCAGGAGGAGGTGGTGGCGGTACTCCATAAGATGCAGGAGGAGGTGGTGGCGGTACTCCATAAGATGCAGGAGGAGGTGGTGGCGGTACTCCATAAGATGCAGGAGGTGGTGGTGGTGGAACTCCATAAGATGCAGGAGGTGGTGGTGGTGGAACGTTATGATGTCCACCGTATGAAGGAGGAGGCGGTGGCGGTGCATTAAATGACTGAGTTGGCTGTTGGTTGTATGTAGCTTTTTGAGAAGGCTGTGAATTTGACTTTGATTTAGAACCTCCTTTGCCAGGGACACGAGCACTTACCCATCCTGTTTTAGCTGGTTTACGAGCAGTTTGAGTTTGTTGAAGAACATGCTCGTCAACATTTCCAGTTGTTTTCAATTGATCTAATAAGTCAGAAGGGAGTTGACCAGCATCTACCATTTGTTTAATAGTGATATAAAGTTGAGTAACTATTTCTTTATTCGCTAAGTGAGAAGGTTTTAAACGAGCAGATTTTAAGATTTGTTTCAATTCACTAGAGATACCAGAAAGATTTACATAACTTTGTTTTTTATTTGTCATCAAAGCACGTAACTCTCTAGGGATATTAGACTTAGACTTTGATAATTTATTAAGCCAAGGCTCGTATGAAATGAACTTATCACCAGATGACGTTAATGAACTACCAGTAGATTTAAAGAATAAAGCAAATGATCCAATAATAGAACCAAAAGTAGCTCTATTAGACATAACAGTTACTTGTAAATGACTCATTAAAATTTTTTGTCTTTCTTTTTCTATACGTTTGTACTCTTCCATAGCTTCTTTAAAATTAGAAGTAGATGCAGTTTTCTTTTCTGCATTAGATAAGTCTTGATCAAATTTTTTTCTTTCTTTTATTGTACTTGTTGATAATTGTTGTACTTCTTTACTTCTAGAAGTGTATTCTTTTTTAAGAGAGTCTAAAAGCATTGATGTTCCTTGGTTGATACTTGTTTGTCTTCCATTGTACAAATCACAAAGAATTTCTCTAACAACAGCAATTCCTTTATTAAAATCTCCCATTCCAGTTTCAGCAATTCCATCAAGAGCTGTAATAACTTTTACTGTGACTTGGTTTAAAGCAGTTTCAGTTTCACAATATTGTTCTAAAGTTTCAATAACTTTTTTTAAATTTGGCAAGACCTTTTTCATATTATCTTGCAATGCGTTTGTGAATTCAATCATTTGCTTTTCTTCTTCTTTAGATTTTAAATTGAAATCATCTTTCTTCTGTGTCATTAGTTTAAAAATAATTATTTTGAGATGCACCAATCATTTTTTGCTTTTCATATTCTTTTTTTATAACACAAAAATTTACAACACATAATTTTTCAATTCATTAGTAACATTTTTTCCTTTTTTATTCCGTTATTTTTCCCTATTTTTATTAAAAACTTAGAAAAAACTTAATGATAATTTGAATTCTTTCTTAAAGTATTGAAAAGCAATAATAAGTAGTATATCAAAGCAAAAGGAGTAATAACTGATATCCGAGACAACTTGGATTTGTCAAAAAGATGGATTTACTAATACTCAATCAATATTCCCATAAACATAATAAATTTATTTCTATTTTCATTAACTGATTTTAGAGCTTTTATAATATCTTAAAGGTAAGAATTCGAATTTAATAGTGTCTGAGTGTTTAGAAGTACCCGTTCATAGTCGGTATCTTTATAAACAAGGACAATGACCAAATCAATTGACATAAATGGTTCATTGAGTGAAATGAAATAATCTTTATTACTAAAAGATTTAAAACATCTAATTCTTGATGGCAGTGTTTGTTATAACAAAAAGTGGATAGTTAATTTAAAAAAATAAAGCTATAAAGCTTTTTTTTGTTGTGTGGTTCTTGTTATTTAATAAATAAATTTATGAATTTGTTTGAATATTAGTATTTTCTGTATTCAAGTTATATTATTTGGAAAAGTTATTCAAAATAATAATTTAAGATATTTTGGTAATAATGAATAGTTTCATGGAGATAGTTCATTGTTGTATTGTATGAAGAAAAGAAGAAGGATAGAAATAAGTTGTAAATTCAAATTTTAAAATTGTTATTTTCATATTTTTTAGAAAATAGAAACTATAAAACTAAAAGATATAAAGAAAACATAATGAATGGTATTTGTACTATGCTTTCTCAAGAACAACGAAATTCTTTAAAGTCAAAACATATATTGATTGTAGGTCTTGGAGGTGTTGGTTCATATACTGCTGAAATTCTTGCACGA